CGCCTTTATGTTTGATTATGATAGTGTGTTTTTTATTCTTTTTTAAATTTAGTTGATTTGTTTTTTACTTCAGTAAGTTTATGGAAATTACTCTTTGGTTCGGCATTAGTCTTTTATCAACACTATCTGTCACTTTTAAACCTGTGTGAATATAATATTTCCATGGCATTGATATTTTGCACTACACAATCCTAAGAAAAATATGGGGTATACACCCCGCGTACAACATGTTGCATACACCCCGGACACAACATTGATTTTTCGTCAATATCTTTATATACGAATTGTTTTATTTACAGACAATTTGTACAAACGTTTATATTATAAAAATGTATTTAACAATAATATAAGTGACGTTAAAGCAAAGCTTTGTTCTGATATTTGATCATAAACACAGTGTAGCGCTAATCTTGCTCGGATCCACTAAATTGTGTTGAGGTGTTTGAAAAAACTAGAAGGTGTCCATTGGATTCACATGTATCCATATACTCCTTAGACAATGGTTCCTTCCGTAGGCATATGCTTTCTGGCGAAAAATATCCGTAATTTGAGAAAATAGACAAAGAACGTACATTGACCCCCTTTTTCTCGCTTCGGAAGCATACACCCCGCGCACAACATAGTATACACCCCGCATGTTGGGATATACACGGTGGTTTTATTAGCGAGAACTTACTTTTCGCGTAATTAAACGAGACGATGAGCTCCGAAAATTTCACTCTTGCAATCAAAAATATTCCTTGCGATTATATAGAGAAAAGCAACAGTTCGTGAAAATTATGTCTCACTAATAAAGAGTTAATGGCTAATGAAAATTTAGTGATCTACAGTGTACCCCTTTAAGCAAAATACATTTTAATTATTAATCCATTTTCAATGTGGTTGATGATGCAAGATGATGCAGATGAATTATTATAAGCTAGAAATAAGTTTATTGTCAATGTATTACCTTCAAACACTACGAATTACCCAACATCAACTAACAAAATGGTTTTACTGAGGTACATGTAGCACTTAAGTAAGTTTTTTCAAGTCATTACAATTCAAAATGAATTACAAAATCTTGACACAAGAAAGTTTTTTTTCAAAGAAGTAGTATGTTTATGTAAAAAAAAGGGGGGGGATTGATACTGAAAAAAATGGGACCTTCAACCCCAACAAATAGGAGTTTGAGTTTCGATACCCCCCCCCCCTTTTTTTTAAATAGCTAGTCAACTTATGTCAAGTTTTTTTTTTTCAGGTACCCCCCCCCTTTCAAAAAAGATTCTACATCACTGACACAAATGCTTAAGAATATATGTATTGATAACATAAATGTTGCAGAAAAAAAAAAAAAAACAAAAACAAAAAAACGATTTATTCATAATACACCATTCATGTAGAGTTTCTATTATTTTTTACAGGCGAAATATTTAGATTAAAACGAACCAAAGAAAGGACAGTGTCATCCATGCAGGGATTGTGGAGGGGGGGGCGAGGGACCCTTTGGAGAGATTTTATGATTTAGATCATTGCACCATCTACAATGTAGCATTTAGTCAGATAACAATCGCTCCTTGCACATCTAGCGCCTTTATGTTTGATTATGATAGTGTGTTTTTTATTCTTTTTTAAATTTAGTTGATTTGTTTTTTACTTCAGTAAGTTTATGGAAATTACTCTTTGGTTCGGCATTAGTCTTTTATCAACACTATCTGTCACTTTTAAACCTGTGTGAATATAATATTTCCATGGCATTGATACTTTGCACTACACAATCCTAAGAAAAATATGGGGTATACACCCCGCGTACAACATGTTGCATACACCCCGGACACAACATTGATTTTTCGTCAATATCTTTATATACGAATTGTTTTATTTACAGACAATTTGTACAAACGTTTATATTATAAAAATGTATTTAACAATAATATAAGTGACGTTAAAGCAAAGCTTTGTTCTGATATTTGATCATAAACACAGTGTAGCGCTAATCTTGCTCGGATCCGATAAATTGTGTTGAGGTGTTTGAAAAAACTAGAAGGTGTCCATTGGATTCACATGTATCCATATACTCCTTAGACAATGGTTCCTTCCGTAGGCATATGCTTTCTGGCGAAAAATATCCGTAATTTGAGAAAATAGACAAAGAACGTACATTGACCCCCTTTTTCTCGCTTCGGAAGCATACACCCCGCGCACAACATAGTATACACCCCGCATGTTGGGATATACACGGTGGTTTTATTAGCGAGAACTTACTTTTCGCGTAATTAAACGAGACGATGAGCTCCGAAAATTTCACTCTTGCAATCAAAAATATTCCTTGCGATTATATAGAGAAAAGCAACAGTTCGTGAAAATTATGTCTCACTAATAAAGAGTTAATGGCTAATGAAAATTTAGTGATCTACAGTGTACCCCTTTAAGCAAAATACATTTTGATTATTAATCCATTTTCAATATGGTTGATGATGCAAGATGATGCAGATGAATTATTATAAGCTAGAAATAAGTTTATTGTCAATGTATTACCTTCAAACACTACGAATTACCCAACATCAACTAACAAAATGGTTTTACTGAGGTACATGTAGCACTTAAGTAAGTTTTTTCAAGTCATTACAATTCAAAATGAATTACAAAATCTTGACACAAGAAAGTTTTTTTTTCAAAGAAGTAGTATGTTTATGTAAAAAAAAAGGGGGGGGGATTGATACTGAAAAAAATGGGACCTTCAACCCCAACAAATAGGAGTTTGAGTTTCGATACCCCCCCTTTTTTTTAAATAGCTAGTCAACTTATGTCAAGTTTTTTTTTTTTTTTCAGGTACCCCCCCCCCTTCAAAAAAGATTCTACATCACTGACATAAATGCTTAAGAATATATGTATTGATAACATAAATGTTGCAGAAAAAAAAAAAAAACAAAAACAAAAAAACGATTTTTTCATAATAAGATCGACATAATTTGGAAAAAGTCTACCGACACGCCTTGAAAGATGTTTACCTTGACACAGTCATGATGTGAGGCAATCAGGATAACAGGGGTGGCCTTGATTTCATCATATCGACTTTCTTTAGACTTTCCATCCTCACAGTAGGTTTTAATGGATTGCAGCCAAAACGAAAAGTAGTCTTGCCAAAAAAAAATTAAACGCAGTATCAAGTGATGCGTCTATTGAAATTATGTTACATGTAAACGGTGATTCTAAGTTATATGAGATACATATAATCTTAAAATACGATGGCAGCCATAGTTATAAATGCATAACACTGTATAAAACAGGTTTTCTGTACAAAAAAATTCTTTCATTGAGAGTATTTACCTGCAAATGTCCAGTTATGAAATAAAGATCCTATGGGGTTGTGTCTGTCAGTGTCGTATGATATAGCTTTCTCCTTCAGATCTTTAGACATGTCAACCACCACGAGATAAAAGGCTCTTCTTGAGAGGTAGATCTGATGACACGCGTAATACGCTACTTGTCCAGCGAAGTCCGTCATACTTATAAGTTGTCTTCCATCTGTGTTGTTAGAAGTCTTGTCTGATTGGGTTCCATTTTTATCAAAATCTGAAAAAATGTGAGATAAGAATTGCAAATGAAAATATATTCACATTCATGATATAAAATTATTCATGTTATAAAACACAGTGAAGTGTTTATATGGCACTTATTTTAACATCTTAACAAAATGAACGTTTTGAAAACAACCTTCTGGTCTTTTAAAAAAGAACTGCAATTTGTTTTGAATTGAAATTCAATTAAAAATAAATCTAGGTTAAGTGAAATTTACCCATATATACACATATCGGCTGAACATATTTAAAAAAAATTCACCTATTAATGTGTCATCTTTAATTTCAAACAAATCCTCGTGAATATCAAGACCGACGGTTGTCTCTGTTGGTTGTTTGTTTTCTTCTTTGTTTTCCCTTTGAAGTCTTCTAAGCAGAGTCGTTTTTCCTGCGCCTGCGCATCCCACTATCATTCCTCTGGCTCGGCACATGTTCACACTGCCTTGACTTGAAATTTTGACGAACCTTTTTCTTGCTTCTATGTCCCAACGCAATACTTCTTCGGGTATCTTCACTAAACATAACATGAGTCTAATTATAATTATCCTCTTAACTGGAATATGTAAAAACATATTTTGTTAGGGGATGGCAAGTTGATTCTGAAGAGGCTGGGGGGTGGGGGGTGGGAGGGGGGTGCTGGCTATTTTCTCCAAGTCAAATTATTTATTTTCATATAGATGAAGGATACAATTTTATGTTCATCTTTACTAAAACAAATATCTGAGAAGCAAAATGAAAAAAATAAAGTCATCAATTAAAAACTCTAAATAGGTGGTGATGGTGAGGAGATGGGGGTATGGGGTTTAATGGCTTTGGTCATGTACAGATTATCTATTTTCCTCCCAGTCGAAGACAAATCAATTACTAGCAACATCTTCGAGACCAGGTTATTCCTTTCCCTTTGTCAGTCCCTCCCTTTCCTCAGAATCAAATACTCGTCCCCATTTCTTTATTTTTTTCCCTCGCTGAACGTGGGATATATTAATTTCGGACTGTCGTTCCCTCCGTTTATATTTCTGTCTTTCTGCAACGCATTCGTTTTAAGCCATATACCATATAAGTAGAATTTTTAACGAGGATTTAATTTTGGCATTATTAGCGAGGGTGCTGACATTGCTAAAATTTAATATCGCTAAAAGATTAATTGCGTATTTTTGTAATAGCTTCTTTAGTTAGCATTTAAATGTCGCTAAAATTACTTCTCGCTAAAATTAAAATACCTGAATTTAGGTTGAAATCGATAAATTTGCGTCTCGCTAAAATTTCCACTTATACTGTATATCGAGAAGTCTTAAAGGTTTAGCAATTACATGTACATTTAACACAATGAAAGAAAAAGTGATCAAGCTCAAAAACCCCACGCTCCCCCAAAATTCAAAGTGCTGAAAATCCCGGAAAAAATAATAGAAACGGAATTTCCCCCATAATATGCACATCTACACATTGTGTCCTAAATATCTGCAAAGTTTTATGAAATTCTGTGCAGGAGTTTATGAGGAGTTGCACTGACAAACTGTTCATTGCTATATTCCAGATATCCCCAAAAATCTACGTTGTAAAGTGCCAGAATTCCCAGAAAAATAAAGGATTCGGAATTTCCTGGTAAAATGCACATCTACACATTGTGTCCTAAATATCTGCCAAGTCTGACGAAATTCTGTGCAGCGGTCTATGAGGGCTCGCACTGACATAATGTTCATCTGTTTATTCAAGGTATGGCCAAAAATCTAATTTGACTAGAAATATGTCCATAGGACATGAATGCCCCGCCGAAGATATATTAGTAAAGCAACATGAAAATTTGTATGTGTATAAAATTTGATCAGTTTGGTTCAGGTAGGGCTTATGGTTACTAAGGAATAAAAATATAGGTCACATCCAGCATCAGAAGCAAGTCTGGTAGTGTCCATCCCTAGATGCATCATCCATGCAAGTTTGGTTCAGACAGGGCTTATAGTTACTTGGGAATGAAAATATAGGTCAGATCCATCATCCGAAGCAAGTCGGGTAGTGTTCATCCCTAGATGCATTATCCGTGCAACTTTGTACATGTATCAACATGTGAAATTTGATAACACCATCTTGAATGGTATGTTTAACACTGAGCTAAACACTAACTTAAGAAAAGTGAGGTCAAGGTAAAAAAAAAAGGTCAAGGTCAAAAAAATGATGATGCAGTTGCATAGCTCTCATCAATATCTATCAGCATATGAAGTTTGATGAAAATATCTTGGATACTTTCTTTGAATATTAACTTTGAACAGAGCTAAACACAAATTTAAGTGTGACGGAAGGACAGAAGGTCGGAAGGACGGAAGACGGACAGGACAAACTCTATCTGCCCTGGCCATATTAATGGCGGGGCATAAAATGTGCCAAAAATTTCCAGAAAAATAAAGGAATCGGAATTTCCTGGTAAAATGCACATCTTCACACTGTGTCCAAAATATCGCTAAAGTTTGACGAAATTCTGTGCAGTGGTTTATGAGGAGTTGCCCTGACAAAATCTTCATCTCTATATTCAAGGTATGGCCAAAAAAAAGTGTGGAAATTCTAAGAAAAAATAAAGGAATTGGAATTTCTCGGTAATATATACATCTACATATTATTTCCTAAATACCTGCAATGTTTGACGAAATTCTGTGCAGCGGTTTATGAGGAGTTGCGCTGACAAACTGTTCATCTCTATATAAAAGGTATGTCCAAACACCTAATTTTTTAGTGCGGAAATTCCCGGAAAAAATAGGGAATAGGAATTTCCTGGAAATATGCACATCTACATATTGTGTCCTAAATACCTGCAAAGTTTGACGAAATTCTGTGCAGCGGTTTTTACGAGGAGTTGGGCTGAAAAACTGTTCATCTCTATATTCAAGATATGGCCAAATGCCTAAGTTAAAAAGTGCGGAAATTCCCGGAAAAAATAATGGAATCGGAATTTTCTGGTAACATGCTCATCTACATATTGTGTCCTAAATACCTGCAAAGTTTGACGAAATTCTGTGCAGCGGTTTATGAGGAGTTGCGCTGATAAAAAAATGACTGACTGACTGACACTCTGACTTTCTGACAATCTGACGGACGGGTCAAAAACATTATACCTCAAGCAACTAGTTGCGTAGGGTATAATAACTCCAAGTTTCAAAAGAAAGACTCCTTTTGATTTTGAGGTCAAAATTTCCAAGGTCTAAGTTATAAATTAAAAGATCAAGTAAATGAACAAGAGGCCCAGGGGCCACAGCGCTCACCTGAGCACATCGGCTAGGTAAAAGCACATATCAGATCAGAACTGAAAGTATAGGGGGGGGGCTTGAATTTTAACCCTCAGGGGTTCCTGATTTGAACTAGAATCTACACTACATTAGGATGATTTCTTATAAATATCACTAATCATGGCTTTGAAGTACTTGAAAAGAAGATTTTAAAAGGTTTCCCAATATATCCCAATGTAAACCTGGGTCGGCAATTTTGGCCCCACCCTAGCCCCAGAGGTCATGATTTGAACAAACTTGAATCTACACTACCTGAGAATAATTTCACATGAGTTTCATCTTTCCTGTCTCAATGGTTCTTCAGAAGAAGATTTTTAAAGTTTTTCTTATATCTTCCTATGTAAAACTTTGGCCGGCCATTTTGACCCCGCCCTAGCCCCGGGGGTGATAATTTGAATAAACTTGAATCTACATTACCTCAGGATGATTCCACATGAGTTTTATCTTTCCTGGGCAAATGGTTCTTGAGAAAAAGATTTTAAAGATTTTTCCTATATATTCCTATGTATAACTTGGGTCGGCCATTGTGGCCCCACCCTAGCCTGGGGGGTCATTATTTGAACAAACTTGAATCTACACTACCTGAGAATGTTTCCACATGAGTTTAGTCTTTCCTAGCCCAAAGGTTTTTGAGAAGAAGATTTTTTAAGATTTTTCCTATATATTCCTTTGTAAAACCTGGGTCGGCCATTTTGGCCCCACCCTAGCCCCGGGGGCATGATTTGAACAAACTTGAATCTACACTACCTGAGGATTCTTTTCTTTAAGTTTCATCTTTCCTGGCCCAGTAGTTCTTGAGAAGAAGAATTTTAAAACATACCATCAAATTTTCATTATTTCTTAATTATCTTCCCTTGAATAAGGGCGTGGCCCTTCATTTGAACAAACTTGAATCCCCTTTACCTAAGATACTATGTGCCAAGTTTGGTTGAAATTGACCCAGTGGTTCTTGAGAAGAAGTCGAAAATGTGAAAAGTTTACAACAACAACGACGACGACGACGACAACGACAGACAACGGACACATTTTGATCAGAAAATCTCACTTGAGCCTTTGGCTCAGGTGAGCTAAAAATACCTATTAGACAGATTTATCAAATTCCAGGAATTAATTCCTGTAATGATGCTTTATAACGTTAGCTTGGTCATATTAGGTGTTTCGGGTCATAATTTGTAGGTTAAAAAGATGAAAAACCATATTTTAAACAGTCATTTTCAATGAAAAAAACTCAAATTGAATGCCATGAAAATACCCTATTTCATACATAATTCTGCTTATGTCGTAAAGTACGGGAAAAAAGAATGTTGAAATGGATTATTATGTCATCATAATGTATTTATTATGTCATAATGATGTAGTACATGTAACTTCACAAAATCGTTCTAAAGTCATTTACCAGATTTTGACCTTAAAACTTTTCCACACGATTCCGCGCGATATCTTGAGAAGCAATCGAGCTTATGCAATGACGTTTTATACCTCGTTCCTCTATGGCCTATGAAAGATTTTGACGTTAGATGTCTAGGTCGTAAATAATGAAAAGTCTGTCTGTTTTGACACTTTTCCGCACGTTTCCACGCGATATCTCAGGAAGAGTTTGAGCTTGTTGAATGAATGAATACCACAACTCTCGTTGACTTATGAAAGAGCCCTAATTGATTATTGGTGGTCAAAAGGTCAAGGTTGTAAATTGATGTTCTGTGTCGGTGAAAAACTTTCAATTCCGGGCGATATCTCAAGCGGCTTTCATTTTTTGAAATTTTATGTTTTACCAAAACTCCAGATTCCTTTGACCCCCCCCCCCCCCATCGGCACATCTTTTTTCCCTTTAGCGGGGAACAAGGATTCTCTGAATAAGCTTGTTACAATGTACAATTAAAACTAATCTCTAGACGATTGCGTAAAGAAATCATCTTCATTCAAAATAATTTTTTCCCTCTAAATCCAATATGAAAAATAAAACAAAGGAAAAAATCTGCGAAATTAGTCATGCTGTTTAAAATAACTAGCATAAAAATGTTCATCGCTCTGTCTGTGGACTACCGTGTACTTTCGATAACTGGGCCCGATTTACAAAGAACTTGCGTATAAGATCCACATTAAATTCTTATAATTATGAATTTTAAAACTACACTTAACTCACAGGGGTTACAATTAAAATAATTTTTCAATCATTAAATGTATTTATCAAACATTCACATGCAATAACATAAGATTTAATACTTTTGATTTTGCTTTTTTGAAAGAATACGCTAATGAAAAACAGATAAAAATAAATGTATTTTTATACACAGTTCAAGAAAATGAAAGAGTTACCATAGATGATCATATTAAAAAATGAGGAAGATTCTCCCTGAAATATGACATTTTTACTAGAGTGCCACAGAGGTAATACTACATAAACCAGTGAACCACATAACTATTAAAGACAGATCTTGGAGACGTTATACTTACAACGTTCACTGATCCTGCCATGAATCATCTCGTCAGACACGGTACAGTGTGTGATGATGTCCAGCTGTAGACTGTCTATGAAGAGGTCGTACATCTCCCACGGTCTATTCGGTAAATACAGACATCTCTCCCCCTCACTCCTCTTATAATCCCAGGACCGGCAGTATTCTGATATCACGTCACGTGACGCCGTGGTCAGGAAAAACTCCAGATCACTGTCCTCCACCAGACACTCCGTAACAAAGGCGTACATGACGTCATGTCGGATGTCGTCTGATATAAAGGTTATAACACCGTCACGTGTTTCTGTGAATCCATCAGGGGGATCTACCGAGCCGTCATCAGTAATATCAGGGAAATACCTCTGTCTGATTTTTTCCATTATGATTTTGTGTGATTGTTCAATGAACTTAATCCGATATTTCTCAGATATAAGTAAACAATACAGTAGACATCTGACTTTCGTTGGATAGCTAAGGATTTTATCTGAAATGACAAACAAATAAATAAATTATAAATCACCAAACAAATAAATCAATAATATAAAATAAATAAATTGTTGACATTCAGTGGAACTACATGAACTGCACTTAAATCTTTTTCTTTACACTGTATGTACATGTATATATTGAGTCTTATTGAACAGAGATGTTTTAGGATGTGAACCACCCCACCCCCACCACATTTTTTTTAATCTCTACTCTAACCATCGCTGAATAAATGCAATTAAAAAGATGGGGAGATTTATCCTCAATTAATTTAATAATAATCCTGAAATACGAATGCAAATCTGTAAAAAATGATTTTTATTCTTAATAATAGCTATAAATAGAAATAATGTTTTGCTTTCGTCGCCCGCGAGACACAGTGATTCGAGCATCTGCTTTAGAGTCCAGGAGTAGGGAGTTCATTCTTTTAGCGACACCACATTATTTTCTTGTTTGTCGGACATCTGGTGACAAAAGTAGGCAAACAGTTTAGTAAAACTTTTGTTTTACTTTTTTGAAGGAAATATTTTTAGGTGGAACTTGAACATATATTCCCCCTACCTTATTTTTATTTTTTTTACATATAGCAGAATGACGAGGAGTACGAAAAATGGATAGAAAATAAAAGGGAAAAAATATCAACAAGACATTGTACATGTAATTAAGCGATCTTGCATGGGGAGCATAAATACACAATCATGTTTAGCAGGATTCACAGAAACTGCAGGAAAAGACGGGGAGGGGGAAGGGGAGTAATTGTAACATTTCATATATTTAATTTAAAGAGGTTTTCAATGGAGCTGCCTCTCCCCCTCCCCTTCTTAAAAAGTATGCAGAATTTTATTTCCACCAACTGTCATATATTTCTTTTTAGCTTCTAAAGGAATTTCTTTATTTTTGTGCACAAGCAATTCAAAAATCAACTTCTTGGACAGCACATTCCTGTCTTGGTCAATGAAAAAGTGCAATACACAAATCAATATAGATTCATGTTTCTGCAACCCCCCCCCCACACACCACTCCAACCCCTTCCCCCTACACATAGAGACACACATGAAGACATACATTCGGTCCACTGAAACAGCACACTTTTTGAAAGGGAGGATGGCAGCCAGAAAGAAAAAAATAACTAACCTAAAAATAAAAATATATTGACTTACTCTATATTACTCTATATATTAACGATGAATAGTGCTTGTAAATGTTCACCACCTTTCACAATAAATCATGCGGAGTACATGTACACTTACATACAATAGAAAATAAGCAAATGAAAATCCTGTTAAAGATAAAGGAGAATAATTCTAATTTGGATTAATATTTAAACAAGTTTAATTTTACAACATTTAAAACGAAATCGAGGGAGATAAACAGACTGATACTTTAACTGACATTTAAATTTGCAAAATACAAAAAAACCTCCAATTTAAAAAAAAAAGATTACCATTGGCGTCGAAACAAGGGGGCTAGCGGAAGGGGGGGGGGTTGAGTCCCAAACTTTTTTTTTCAAACGATATAAAGCGTACATGTATAGATAATAAACATTTGGACGTATGTATCCACCCCCTCTCACATACACACACACACACACACACACACACATACACTTTCAATACACATGTTGCAGTTTAGTTAAAGTTGAAGAATGGGAAGTCATATTGTTTGAAAGATCAAAAAAATGGTCATGAAAGAACTTCAATCTCCCAAAACCCAAATCCTCTCCTTTATTTAAGTAGAAAAAATGACATCTTTCATTTTTAAATTTATGTCTACACAAAGTTACAGGTAGATTTAGATAATATTTATTCAGATTACTGAACAGATTGGACAACAGGCTAAGCAAACTGCCTATAAATCAATTTTCTATACAAGGTCTTAGGTACATGTAACAAATATAATGAACTGAGTAAATATAAATCTATAGTACCGAATTCACGGAAATAACTAAAAAACTAACTTCATTTTTGCTAGAAAATCAAACTTTCTTACTTGGTTTCCTGTAAGCTTTGTTGTCGATGATGTAAATGTCGTTGTGTGGATGTAGACCTATACAGGATCTCACGATGTCAGGTCTCCAGTATCTCCAGAGCCACGTCACGTGATCTACACTGTCCTGTGATCTTCCCCTGTAATGTACAGCCTCCCCTTCTCTTCTTAGTTCCGTAAGAAATTTTTCTCGTTCATCTTTATTCTTAATTTTATTTTCTGGGATATTTACTGTAGAAAAAAATATATCCTTTATAATAAACATTTACACTGTAATATTATTATGTATACATAGATGACATAGGTAGAGATACAATCAAATTAAAGATTTATTAAATATATTCGATCAGTTACTTCTATTATAATAAGTTAATCATCTAGTAGCATTAAATTGCAACCGATGAAGCAACTACAAATAAAAAAAGAAAGTGATTTAAATGTATAAATGTTTCTACTGATAACTTTTTAACTCTTTAAAATGTAATCCAATTATTCAAATAAAATTCTGGAAGAAAAAAATAGAACAATTTACAATTATTTTACTCTGACTTACATGTCTGCTGTATCTCATCATATATACCCGTGTCCTCCATGGTGACGTGAGTCAGTATGTTCATCTGTAGACGGAGTATCAGTAAGGGATCACTGTCATATCTACTGACACACTTCTCTCCAGGTTTTCTGTTGTATCCCCATGATCTCAGGTACACACTGGCTGTGTTATAACTACTGTAATTGAATGGTATAACACTGTTTATTGATGCTATTCTATACATTGTCTCATCCTTTGTGTCCTTCGTTATCTTGTCCTGATCTTCCCAAAGGTAATCACGTGACTTCAGTCTGTCCAGAGTCTGCTGTGCTTCCTCACTTTTTACAGGATTATTTTTATCATCTGCTCTCTGTCGTATCTCATTAAGCAAGTCCAGCCATTCTGTTTCAGTGAAGTCTGGAGGACTGGAGTCAGAACACAGAAAACAGAATAACACCAACACCTCGTCATCAGTCAGTGTGGAAAACTCATCTACAACGTGTTGTGAACATATTCATGTATTGAGAAACACTGTCATTAAATATGATGCATATAGTTTAAAGGACCTCCATAATTTAGGTGATTTTTTAATTCATTTTTCGCCATTTTTTTTTCTTTTCATCTAACTCAATTCAGCTTTTTTGACTAGTATGATAGTAATGTTTCAAAAAGCGAAACAGACCTACATGTGTATATGGATTAAAATCCGATTACCAGATTAATTGAGTAGTGTTTTAACAATCAAAACACATATAACGACCAGCACCATTCTTGATACATGTACTGTTTAGAACTGTTCAAGAATATTTTCCCTATTTGTATTCGAAGATTTAGAATAACTGAAGGAAGATATGTGGAAAATTCAAATTCAAATATACATAAAGTAAATAAAGGATACTTTTTTTTTAAATGAGAAAAAATAAAATTGTATATTTGATACCTTCATTTACATGTATATTATCTCGACGTAAGTTTAGTTGCATTGTAAATCAAAAGGAGAACAAAAAATTATATTGGTATTTCTGCCTTTTCCTTTATTCTCAAAATATTTCTTAAAGTCTTGTACATATTTAGGTTATATTTAGATAAACTCGTCAAACCCACATGATCTACAGAAATATCATCCGAAATATAATAGGACAGGTCCAATTCAAGTTTTAGAGTCTCCTTCTTTATGATTACATGTACAGGGAGGTGTGTATATTTGTACTATATTGACTTAATTATAAAAAGAGATTTCAATTATATTAAATATATACTGTATATAGTTTTTGAACGAATATTTATTGGAACAAGCTAATTCAGAAAATTTGCCTCCCCTGCTTCGGGAAAAAAAAAGCGCATAATTTGTACATTTAACAAATTTATAGATGTATATTGAATCAAATTTTATATCTAAAAGATGCCAAAATTGGTATAAAGATTTAATAGCTTATTATTTATCCGATGTTATGAGTTTATATAAGCAGACGTCATTACTCCTTTTTTTTTTATTTCACATGGTGAATACTTTCAATTAGTAAATATTAGTAAATAAAAAATTTTGTAAAAAAAAGCTAGGATCTTCCGGAATTTGAACCGTTACCGAGCATCATACACATAGACCACATATCCTCAGCTTGTAATGCAAAGTAAATGCAAACATGGGGTCACATACATGTAAATATTCACGTTTGATATTTACAAAAAAATTTCACAAAACCTACCTACATGGAAGCTTATGAAGCTATATAAGGAATAGGGCATCATTTCCGACGAACTTACGACACATCTTAGTCTTAAGTTAGGCCATTAATTCTGTCCTGTATTAGGGGACCTCTTATTTCCTATATGTATTCTTAGTTCCTGTTTTAAGACGATCGCGAGCTTCTCCCAAGACATATCTTAAGTGATTTAAAGAAGCCATGGGGCCAGGAAAACAACCAAGAATTATTTGTTTGCATAAATAAGTCAAATATTTGTTGTAATGTACTACTGTTGGAAGCAATTTAAGTGTAATATGGGAGGGCAGCCGTACATTTTCAGTTGGGGGGCAATTTCAACTACATGTTGTACTAAGAATTCCATAATTCCCTGACAAGTAAAACAAAAGGGCCCATGGGCCACATGGCTCACCTGAGTAACTATGGTCATACTATTCTTTTAGATTTCCTCTTTGTAATACCTATTTTGACCTGTCCTACCCCCCCGGGATCATAATTTGGAAAATGAAAAAATCTACACTATTCCAGAAATATTCAACATAAGTTTCAGCTTTTCTGGTCCAGTGGTTATTACATGCAAAAAGAAGATTTTTCCATGATCCCATCCTATTTTCTTATCTTGATTATTTCACCCTGTTGAGGGACTAAACCCATCTTTTTTTCCTTTTCAACACCAGCGTAACTTCCGCGGACTACGCATTTTGATAATCCGAGAAAGAAATGATCAACTTACACGCTGCATTTAAAAATTTCAAAAAAAGGAAATGGTTTGCGAAAAAGGTTTAGATAATTGGCGATTTTATAAAGGATCTGTTAGCCTCCTTTCTAGAAAGCGATACGAAATAGCATGGCACGTAGCATCGTCTTCATAAGGGGGGGGGGGGGGGGCAACCAGAGAAATATTTTTTTAATTACCTGGAAAGCTACGAAAGCCCATTGAGCTCATTTTGGTAGGTAAAAAAATAAATTTTTTGCGTTATAACTCGAAACTTTCGCGAAAAAACGCGTAACTTTCGCGGTATAACGCGAAACTTTCGCGAATAAACCCGTAACTTTCGCGTTATAACGCGATACTTTCGCGAATTAACGCGTAATTTCGCGATATAACGCGATACTATCGCGAATAAACGCGTAACTTTCGCGTTATTTCGCGAAATAATATGCATATATAATGAGAATGTTATTCAGGAACCTTAATCTTGACTGTCAGATAAAACATGAAAACAGTCGGGAACTCTCAGCAACTTATTATCATTTCTTTAGAAGATATACTGGAGAAATGATACGAGAATAGGATAGATTAGTCGATCATCAGAATATTTTTTTCTACTTTAGACCTTGTTTTTTTTTTCTTCTACGTTTTTCAAATTTTAAATTCAAGAAATTCTTTAGACTGATTATTTTTTTAAGAAAAATCTCCACTTGACACTTTTTAAAAGCTTTTTTTTAAAACCATTAACACTTACTACAACTGTACCACTATTAAATTAAGCCATCAATCATTTTGGACTAAAATTTTTACCCTGTAGAAACATAAATAAAAGTAATGAACAGTGCATCATTTCATGAGCTTTATGGGCCATGTGATGCTGTTTGTTAATTACAAATTTATCCGAGGGGTTAAAGAGAAGTTCGTGGACTAGGGCCATAAATCAAAACTATTAGAGTACATGTATATACGGCAGAGTTTATACACTTATATTAGTTGTCAATATTTTTCCGATATCGTATTTCTACAGTGCATCCAACGGAGACAAATGAAAATCTGCAATCCAATTCTCACAATTCTGAGATCATCTCTAAAAAAGTGCATCAGAAGACGCTGGAAAGGGGTGATTTTCCCCGATAATAATGATAATAGCGATTGATAATAATGATAGCGATTGAAGTCTTTTAGAAAACTCGAATAATCTTTGAATTGTTTGAACAGTACTGAGAAAGACCATCTAAGACGGTAAAGATAGATTCAATAGGAAGATAGTCCACGTTTAAAATAGCCTTTTGCTTTTCATTGTAATAAATAAACTTGATCACAAAATCAAAAGAAAGTTGAGACTTAAGCAAATGTCTTGGTAAAACAGCAAAAGTTTCGCGTTATATCGCGAAAGTTTCGCGTTATAACGCGAAAGTTACTCGTTATATCGCGAACGTTTCGCGTTATAACGCGAGAGTTACGCGTTTATTCGCGAAAGTTACGCGTTTATTCGCGAAAGTTTCACGTTTACTCGCGAAAGTTTTGCGTTATGACGCGAAAGTTACGCGTTTATTCGCGAAAGTTTCGCGTTTTATCGCGAAAGTTTCGCGTTATAACGCGAAAGTTACGCGAAAATTCGCGAAAGTTTCGCGTTATAACGCGAAAAATTAATTTTTTAACCTACCAAAATGAGCTCAATGGGCTTTCGTAGAAAGTTGACCAGCCAATAAAAAAAATTAAAAACTTTGACTAAAAGCGAAAAAGCTCTTATTTCAACACCTATTCCTTGGCTTAAAATACTACATTTCCCTAATATAACATTACCGCAGTATAACCTGTGTGGGGGCTGTCTTTTAATGAACGTTTTCAATAGTTAGGTAATGTTGGGAAAAAATGTGGGGGTGGAGCCCGCTCCCCCTCCCACCCCCCGTTGCTACGTGCCTGCTAGCTGGTTATTGTTATTTTTCTTAAAATCTTATATTATAAATCTACCGGATACATGTATATTATGCCTTAAAACAAGGATAATTTACAAAATACAGGTAACCGGTGAAACTGTGAAGATGAATTTCGCTGGATGTCAGTTGAGTGTTACACACTTGAATTTGATTTACATATGATGCAAGAGGGTTTCGTGCGTACAGCATGTATAGAGAACGAATGTATAAATGAGTTGAACATTTGAATATGAACCAATGTTGTGGAATTTAAAAATGATTAGAATTATTAATTGTGAATTCAATATAATTACGGTATTTATATTTTTCACATAATTATGTACATGTATGTCAGTTACACGAAGTTTCATGAGTCTCTCAATCTTTGCTAGCCAAGCGTTTTTGATACGCTATTCTTCTCATGAGGAGAGTGTTTCTGATACGCTACTCTCCTCATGAGGAGAGTAGCGTATCCGAAAAATGTGGAGAGTAGCGTATCAGAAATTAAGCCTCAGCCAGCGAAGATGGAGTCTCTCTCTCTCTCTCTCTCTCTCTCTCTCTCTCTCTCTCTCTTATTGCTTTTTAAACACTTTGCAAAACAGAATAACTTATGAAAATAAATACTTACACTGAAGGGATTTTAAAAACATAAATACTTTTTACGAAAAGAATGTTTCCGTATTAACGTGAAATACGCTCGGAAATTATTGTAACAATTTCGTGTTTCTGCTGTCAATTCTCTGATCTAAAATAAAATCAGTGTATTTTACTCGGGAATATACATATGCTTAGATCCTACACTAAATCTTTGATTAAATGCAGCTCAGATTTTATACAACACGTGTTACACGAATTCAGGTCGATGCTACCCCGTATAGCGGGTTTTCTTGGCGGGTGTAAAATTTGGCGTTTTACTTGCTCAAAGGTATGCCAATAATTTTGGCGTCGTAATTTATTTTAGCCGACATAGAGTTTTAGCCCTTTGGAGATGAACAATTAGAAGAGAACTTACTATTTTAACGATTAAAATTTTAGCGGACTATTATCAAAACGCCAAAAAAAGCCAAAATTAACAGCCCTCTAAAATAAACCGCTATACTGTATTTTTTATCAGTCTTTCTTCGTAACATGAGCACATGAGATTGAATTATTCATTTA